ACCTGTGTAATGGACTAGAAATGTCACACACACAGCTGATCACCTGTGTAATGGACTAGAAATGTCACACACAGCTGATCACCTGTGTAATGGACAAGAAATGTCACACACAGCTGATCACTTGTGTAATGGACTAGAAATGTCACACACAGCTGATCACCAGTGCAATAGACTAGAATGTCACACAAAGCTGACTACCAGTACAAGGGACTAGAAATGTCACACACAGCTGATCACCTGTGTAATGGACTAGAAATGCCACACACAGCTGATCACCTGTGTAATGGACTAGAAATGTCACACACAGGTGATCACCTGTGTAATGGACTAGAAATGTCACACACAGCTGACCACTGTGTAATGGACTAGAAATGTCACACACAGCTGACCACCTGTGTAATAGACTAGAATGTCACACAAAGCTGACCACCTGTGCAATAGACTAGAATGTCACACAAAGCTGACTACCAGTACAAGGGACTAGAAATGTCACACACACAGCTGACCACCTGTGCAATAGATTAGAATGTCACACACAGCTGATCACCTGTGCAATAGACTAGAAATCTCACACACAGCTGAACACAAGTGCATGTAACTAGAATGTCAAATATTTCAGACTGAAGTGAGAGACTGAAATTCACACACTACCAATCAGGCTCTTATGCATCACTATTTTGATTACAAGTTCAATCTACTATGTCAGTCAAATAAAAAATTAATAAAGTTTGAAACATCAACATATGTAAAGGAATATTACCACTGCAGGGTTAATTGTCTTGAAATATTTACATGTTCTACAGTAATTCCTATATGCTGAATCTGAAAATGATATCAATTTTTCTCCATCATGTACAGATTGTTCACAAAACATCATGTGTACTTTACATAAGTGAATCATTTTCATAGAAATAGGGTCACATTTTGTTATGCTTAAAATGTTGACAAACACTGGCTATAGACTAACCTAACCTAACCGATCATGACATGAGAGTCTTACTGATCATTCTAGGATTCACAAGAAGCACACATAATAATAGAAAATGTTCATTGTGGTACACAAAATAATAATTTGATTTAAGTAAAAGTAAGAGTTTTTTTTCCTGATTTCTAAAAAATCTTTACGTGACAGAAAAAAACGAATATTATTTTCATAATCTGTGTAGATGAATTTTGGAAACTCCATTATTAAAACAAAAACAACTTTTATGATGCTTAAATTCACAGGCCTGTGTAACTGAGCTAAAATTTGACTAAAAAATATTTTATACAACTGTACAAACTCTACCAAAGATTTCCATTGAACAAAAATTAGCTTTTTATTATTTACAAAGTAGTAATCAATAAGTCATGATTCAGTACTCAGTGAAAGCAATACTATTAATTATAATGGAACACTTTTGTGTTGTTAATAAGCCATGTTACTAGTATAAAAGCCCATTAAAAATGACGGGAACTAAAGCCTACAAAATTTGAATCCTTCAATATGCACTTACAACTTTGCTGCCCATAAACAGACATAAGTAAAATAAAGAGCCTTCTAACTTCGGTAAAACCAATCCCACCATCGATCCTTGTCCCAGCATTCATTGATCACAGTTATTTTATAATCACATAAATTACATTATTGCAATAGTTCTCTTAAAACCACATTTCTTGAAAATACTTAACCATCTTTCCAAAACTTCTATTCATAACAAATGGCAAATTAATTTTACTTTGTGCTAAATAAATTCTTGGTATAAAAAAAATTCCTTCCTTGACAGGTTTTTATATAGCAGAAAAAAGTGCCAAAATTTAGGAGCTATCTACAACTGTGTTAGTGATTGAATTCAACTAAAATGGGAACAGGAAATCAAAAGAAGGAAGTATTATACAAGAAAAAGTTGAATTGGTCTTGTGTAACTCACGAAATTTGGAGAAACTGAGTGTGACTGACTGACACTTGGCTTTGATGATTATGGTGAACAGAACCAACACTCTGACACAATGCTAGATCATTTGTCAAGGAGTTTGTAAAAAACAAAACATATATCAATTTACTTTCATATGTGTGATCTCCAACTCCTCCACGGTCCCGTATAAATGATGATACAATAGTCCACCCACAAAGACCTTTTTCAAAGTCACAATAATGTTCTTCTTCAAAATCTAAGTAATGTCAACAAAGTTCAAGGTTTATTAATATATGCTTTTCTCATGTAGCACAATCAATAAGGTATATACATGTTACTTCATATGACAATTCTCCAATAATGTGTTTTATTATCTTTTTCTTAATAAACATTGATAGTTAGCACCACAGAACCAGTAAACATATACTAACTATAACAAATCTATTATCTATCACACAACAAGTAAGTAGGTATTATTAGCTGATTTTATTGATATTTTGCCACAGTTATAGTTAACTTTTCAATCAAAATTGTTAATATAGATTTAACAATATAAAGCAAGTGTAGGTCTACTTTGTTAAAAAGCTTAAGCATATCTTCAGTTAATTTTGTGACTACCGTTAAATTATAAGTAAAACAGGTTACTTGGATTTTGAAATATTTAGTTTTATATTAAATACATGTTTCTTACTTATTTCTATCATTCAGAAGAATACATTTTTAGCAAGGAGGGATAGAATTATTTCAACCTTGAATAACGTAGTGACAAGTGGTGAATTGAATGATAGAACAGGCTTCACATTTACTTTTATAATACATTTTTAGTTACAGAATAATTGCACACTGTGATTAACTTTCACATATCAAAATTTCATTTGAAAAAGCAAGCCATTCTTGAATTCACAGACACATGCTGACTTATACTTATAAATTACAGTGTATTTAACCTATTTTAATTTTGAATCAACCTATTCAATTAAGGAAAATCAATTTCACAAAAAAGGTTAATACAATAACTATTTTTTAAAAACAAAAATAAAAACAAGAAACAACTTTCAGGTTAGAACGATAATTCAATCTGTATTATAAACTTTACATGTTCTTAAATTTCTTGCCACATGAAGTATAATGTAAGGTTTATTTGTTATGGTAAAGTTTGTTTTATTTAGGAGTACTAACCAAAAGAACATGGTCCAGGTTTCACAATAATATCATCTATGCCAATTATTCCTTGTGTATATGCTCTTGTCGGGAGTCTCTGGCCAACAAAATAAATCTAAAGAAAAAAAAATTACTTTGTTAATGTCAATCTTCTAGTATCATAAAAAATACAAAAATAAATATGTTGATAAATCATGCTACATTTGCTGATTTCTGAACAGCATTTACCAAAGGATGTGCCACAAAAAATTCCACTTTAGTTTAACAGTTTTCAAAAATATAAATAGTAAGAAAAGATACATTAAAATAATTTCAGTGTGATTAGCAAGTGAGAACATAATTGCAAACAACTGTTTTAATACTTTATTGTTTCTAGGTGTTTGTGTTTGACTTCATTCTTACTTTACTATCAGCACCACAATTAATGCCGTGCCCAATATTAATTAGTAGTTCCAAGTGGAGAGGGAAGTTTGGGAAACACTTGAGTTGATGGCAAACAAGCAAAATGGTCAGGATTTATGGGCATAATAAGATCTTTTAAGAAAATGAATACTTAATGATCCTTGATCCATGCATCAGTGCATAATCTGTGTATGTCATGGCTGAAGATTCTGTGATCAAGATATGCTAATCACACCACTCAAAATATAATTAACACAGACCTTATATTTGCTGTCATTTTTAACTAAATTCTTTTAATTATATCACAAACTCCATTCCCTCTGTTATCAGCAAGAATTATCTGAAGAGTTATACTATCTTTATTTGGTATCTGGACAGTTAAGGCTTAGTGACGCCATTGAACACTACACTTTCAGCTTTGGGTATGTTATAAAAGTGATAGTTAATTGTGTTATTCAGTTCAAATATCTGGACAAAACAATGTGGCAGCAGGTGCTGAGACTAGTTGCCTTCCCTCTGGTCATTAGTTCAAAATTAGCAATGGTTATACCTGAACCCCACAGGACTCTGATCCGGCTGATTAGAAAACATGTGCATAAGGTGCATTTCAGGTAGGAAATTTTAATTCCTACTCGAATCCTAGTTGTCTTTATCTACACTTTTCTGGTGTGGGGAGGATAGCACAAGTGAGTATCATTTTCAATAATGTCTTAGTTTTTAAATGTTAATTCAATCATAGTACTTTTAACTAAAAACCAGATTGAAGTGGAAGTGTGTTCATATGAAATAAAGAGGTGCATGAGAAGAGGAGTGCAATGGCCATTCAGTACAGACCTTCAAAATACAGTGACAAAGAATTCAACAGTTTTGAAGTTGAGTGTGTCCAATGGTACCAAAAAACTAGCCCTTAAGTAAATGGCAGTTAACAATACTGGGTGTAAGTTGAACTTACCCAGGAAACTACAACAGCTCCAAACAGAGATCCAGCTTAAATTAAAAGTAAAGAATAAGAGAAATCACCTTGCCAAATTTATAAATACTAGAGACGACAGTTAAAAGCCTTACAGACGACAAAACTTTCATACAAAAGAGGTAATAAGATATGATTGTGTAGGAGACTTCCACATGATACAGTGAAAGAGGTATTCTAACAGTCACAAAAACGTATAGCTATATGAAGCACTTGTTAAGTTGAAACCTGGAGGCCCCATTGTCTAGTAAATTCCAGAATAAGCATAAGAAGTAAAGGTATCACAAAAGGAGTTGACAACAACCAATAACAGTGATTATGGTAAACATAAATAACAGTATGTGAAAGGAACTTGACAGAGCTGGGCAATTAGTGGATTTTGCAAATTGATTAATCATAGGGCTCATTGATCACACTCAACTAATTTATTATTTTTACATATGAATAATCTTCCTATTTTAGCTTGTTTTTGGTTTTATCAAAAATATTTAAAACTACTCTTCATTTTATATGATTAATTAAGTTACTTTTTAATCCTAAACTGTTATAGACACAAATGTAGTACAACACCTGTAAGAAGCTGATAATAAGATAAATAGTGTTCCATGAGTTTATTCCTAGAACTTTTCACTAGTAAAACTAAATAAAGTAATTCTTTGATAAAAGTAACTGTCCTTAGATTTCATGTGATAGAAGTAATAAAAATTACTTGTAACAGTATGTAATATATAACATATAATACAATGAAAACAAATTCATGCCAATCCTTGAAAAAGTAACACAGTACAACATTTACTACTTGGTAAAAAAAGTTGTGATTATACTAGACAATATCTTTGCAGAAATAAAGATTATTCAGAAAGAAAAAAACTGATGTATTACAAGAAATATTAAAATCATGGTCATATGAAAAAATATTCAATTACAGACATTTCAGAATTTGTTTCTTATTTCAACATTACTGGGTAACTTAAAAAATAATAACAACTTTATAAGTATAAAAAACCTTTAATCGAGAAGCTACTGATATCAATAATAAATGTTTAGAAAAGACATATTTATATGATTAATACATTTAAATTTTACAGTACAGGTTCAAAGAAACTGTAAAATATACAAGCAGTATTTAAACAGCAAGCTTTTGTTTTCTCTTTATAGTGCTTCCTATGTAGCTACAGCTAGTGTAATTAAATGAAAGTCCTGTTCATGTAAACAGATTAATGTTGTTAGACTGTTATTAGTCCATGTCTAGTAAATTCTGACCCACAATTAAATGAACAAGCTATTCAGCAATCAACATTTTTAGTGAATAAAGAACAATGAATATAACTTGTCATAATTTTTTATTAGAGCAATTTTACCTTAGGAAACACTGGTTATATTTGTAGCTTGTAGTAAGTAAGTAATATATTAAGTTGTAGGTACATTATTTATACATATAAATTAAACACAAACAAAAGGCATCATTGTGGATAGTTATGTAACCAACAGGCACTAGGTCACACCCTCAAATTCATGAACTGTGTACATGTGGAATGCATGTTTATTATTTCTATACTAGCTTAAAGGTGCATCATGTGAAAGACAGCTAAAAAAGAACCAAAGTTGGGCTGACTATAATGACAGTAGAAATGTGTATGTCACATTAAAAGATAGTCAGTAAGGAAAGAAATTTGGACTTACAATAACAATGGTAGAGAGTTATTATATGTCAAAAAACAGCTAGTAGTGAGATAAAATTAAGATTATTGGGCTGACCAAAACAACATTAGAAAGGTGCATCATATCAAAAGATGACCAAAGAAGAGGCAAGGCTTAACTGACCAAAACAACAACAGAAAAGTAACTCACATGAATGGTAGCTAATAAGAAACACAGCAGAGCTGGCCTAAAAAACAGCCAAAAGGTGATTCATGTCAGATAGTGCCTTGTATAGAGACAAGGTCAGACTGAATAAAACAATAGGGAAGAAGATGCTAGATCAAATGGTATCCAGTAGGGAATCAAAGTTTGGCTGCCCAAAACAATAGGAAAGAAGATGCTACATCAAACAGTAGCCAGTAAGGAAGCAAAGTTGGGCTGACCAGAACAATATGAAAGAAGATAATACATCAAATGGTAACCAGTAAGGATGCAAAGTTGGGCTGACCAAAACAATAGGAAAGAAGATAATACACTAAAAAATTAACAGTAAGGTAAGGAGTGAAATTTAGGTATAGCAAACAATAGCAGAGAGGTATAACACATTAAGTAATAGCCAATAACGAGCAAAAATTGG